CACCCAGGACCCACGGCCTGACCACGGGCTGAACGGCGGCTGGATCCAGGAACGGGTTCCTGAGTCACCCGCCCAGGCGAGGAACTGCGTCATGTATTATGGCGCCATCTGAGCTCAGAAGCAGGAAGTGGTTCCTAGAATTCGGTCCTGACGCGGCCGATCGGGGAAGTGGTTCCTGGTTGTGCGCCGAGGTGGCCCCATAGGGCGCATCATCCAGGAAGCGGTTCCTTGCTGGGGGGGGGGCGGCGCCAGGAACCACGTCCGGTGAGTGGGTGGCATGCAGTTGCCACTGTAAGACGTGGGTCCTGGGCAGTGGGGCCCTGTTGGTTCTCAAATAAATGCCCGGGGGGGAGGGGGGTGCAGGGCCGCCCGGGATCGCCCTGAGCCCTCCTGGGCAGTTTTGCGAGGATCCAAGGGGATCCGTTGTGGTACTTGAAAAAACTGCCCGGGTGGGGGGGGGGGCGACCTCGGGTGGCCCGGATCCCTCCACGGGAACACATCTGGCGCTGCGGGTCAGGACGTGGTTCCTGGATGGGGGCAGTGGCGACGCCGACCGGGGAAGTGATTCCTGGAGTTGAGCCGATGCGGCATCGCGTCGTAGTCGTAGCCGACCCCGACGGGGATCATGGCTTAGGTGGAGGGGGCAAACAACGCAGCCGCTGCATGGGAGTGGGCGGGACGAATATGGGACGTCCGGCATCCAAGGAATCATTTCTCCGAGTCGGGGTGGGTGACGACGGTGACGACGATCGCTCGCATGCAGCGGCAGCGGCGCTGGCGGGCACCCCGCCTCGATGTGGCCCCTCCCCGCGCACAGGTGTGACCACGGACCCGTGGAACGTGCCCGTGTTGATGGAGTCCACGATGTACGGTCGCCTGGCGGGCACGGGGGCGATGGGCAGAGCGGGGAGGGGGAGCGATGGGCGGAGGCCAAGGCGACCACCCGTCCACCAGCATCTCGCCACTGTCTCGGCACCATGGTTGTGCCACCTCACTCGCCAGGACCCTTACACAAAACACGACAGCATTCGACGTCGCAATCTACAGTCGCTGGAAATCAGCATCGCACGGACATGCAAGCATACGCACCAGGCACATGACAGGTGGATACACGTAACTGCACTGAGCGGAGGAGGCAACGCGCAGTGCACACACATCCGGACCTGAAAGCAAGGCTAGGGGACGCAAGCATGCTGGCCTGCAACACATCAAGTAATGCACTGGGTCATCACGCGGCTGGACGACGGATCCACGATCGACACAGTCCACACAGCAAGGTATCATTGTGCACAAATTCTGAAAACATGCCCACGAGCCAGTCGCCCGCGTCCTCTGGCGGTGCCAGCACATGATAAGCGCCGGCGTCGTGGGTGGCAAGACGGGCAGAACATTCCCTGTGCATAGGTAAAAGGCAGAGACCACATTCTTGCACGCTCCCCATCGCAGAGCCACATACCATACAGTCCGAAACTGCATCCAGTGGGCCAGCTCCAGCGTGATCCACCATACGTAGCAACCTATGGAGCGACTCAGCTATGGGTAGGAGGCGAGGTGGCATGACTAGGATGACTGCTAGAAATTTACAGGTTATCATTCTGAATGAAGAGACGTGTGTGAGTCGCGCCATCTAGTATACCATCCATGCAATATATACATAAAATACGCAAGTACGATACACACTTACAAACAAACTAACCATGAATACATGCACCGCGCACACAGAGCACACGCACCCACTCGCATCCATGCCAATCGCAGAGCACAAGCCCCAGGCGACAGGACCACGGGTCCCACGAGTCGGTCCCCACACCCGCTGGTCAATTGCACGGTGCACGCGCGCCTCCCTTACCACGTGCCACGCCTGCACACCCATCGCACATGGCAGATCGCACCCGCAGGACGGCAGGGGCGGGGATGGGGGCGAGGTGGCGGGGTGGGGTAGGGAGACGGACGTCGCGGGCACGGGGGTGAGGCTGAAGAGGGAGGGCGATGAGGTCATCAGGGTCGACGAGGCTGGCATCAGACAGACAGACGTGGTCGGGGGTGCATGCGGTTGTGATATTAGAATTACCTACCTTGGCTAGAGGTGCGTATACATTTGCATGACCCCGTGAGTCCTGATAATATGCTCTGGAATTTCAGCCCGAAATACACCACGGCCCTTCAGGACTGCAACCCCGATGGTAGGAAGAATAATCGTGGCAGATCTGAGATCTCTGGCAGGGAAGAATCCAGCTGTCGGGTAAACTGCCCGGCCATCCTCAATCCGTATCAATCGACCTGTACGACCCTCTGTGTTCACCCAATGGACGAGGTATGACGTGGGCCCTCCGATGGCCACATCAGGAGTCCATACTAGCCCCATCTCCAAGACGTCCCCAGCGCGACGCCGAACTCCGCCAAGAGGCGTGGCCGAAGCACGAGGGATCAGTCTGAGCGCATCGGCACCATGCACTGCCGATCGCGCCCACGCAGTGAGCAACTCAATCACATGACGAGCTTCGTCGTCGGGGTCATCGTCGGGAGGTGGATCTGGGGGTGGGTCATCGCCGTCGCCGCCGTCACCTGGTGCTGCTGCTGGTGCTGCTGCTGGTGCTGCGCCGCCGCCGGTGCTGGCTGCTCCGTCTAGGCCCAACTTAGCCACATCGTGTGCGTGTGCTGCTGCGAGTGCCGCCTCCTTCTCCAACTGATCGGGATGCATGTCTGGCCCCAACCCGCTGGCAATCAGAGCTGCGTTCCAATCGAACTTACCAGTGAATGCAGCGTCATGCTCTGGTCTACCCGGCTTGACCCGATCCTTGCCACCAGCGCCGGCGCCTGCGAAGGTGGCAATACGGCGGGCCTCCTCTTGGCCGACGAGGGCGTCGTCCAGGTCGTCGCCGAGGTCGCCGGAGACGTCATCAGCCTGGCGCGGCGCCAGCAGGGGAGGGGGTGCTGCGGAGCGAGCGAGGTCGAGCAATGACAGCAGGGCAGCACAGCAACGACGATAGTAGACGTGCAATGGACAGGATAGGCTGAGATGAGGGGTGCGAGCGAGGGGGGCGCGTGCGAAAGTGAGCAGGGGGGGGACATACAATCCGATGTCATGATGTCATGGCTGTGGGGCGCGGGGGGTACGATTAATGGATCTCGCGAAAAGACGATCAGACCAGCGACGATCGAGCGTTCGAGCCAGCGCACACTGTCGCACCAGCGATCACAGACGGCGAGTTAGCAGTCTGGAGAGCTGAGGCCACGCATTAGGCGCTCGCAAGATGTTGCCAGAACGTACGCGCACAAGCACGCGCGCGCGCCATGTCGCATACCTCGCGCACCAATGCGCACGCACACACAGCAGAGGGCGGGATGCACAGCCTCGTCGCCGCCTGCAGCGAACGCCCCGTCGAGCTCGCGTAGGAGGTCAGGGTCGATGTCCGATTCATCCGCAGCGACATCGTCGTCGGCGGCCGGCGGGCCACCGTCGTCGGCGTCGGCTGGCGGACCGCCGCCGCCGCGGCCACCGCCGCCGCCGCCGCCGTCGCCGCCGCCCTTGCGTGCGCGACGGGGGGGCCTGTCGGTGGAGCGCATCACATGCATGAGCTCTGCATCCCCGATCTGGAAATATCCGAGGGGCCCTCGAGGCCCTCCAACATCGGATCCGTCATCGCCGGGATCTGGGCCAGAGAGACTCCACAGCCAATCAATCTTGTGTCTGTAGAGTTGAACTGACCCAAAAAAACGCACATAGTCCCAGGCATCTAAGAGCACGTCGCCAGAGGTCAGAAACCGCAGCGGATCAAGAAATCTGATCAGACGTGAACCGTCGTCCCCAACCATAACAACGCGCGCAACAGCATATGTCGTAGCCGAATAACTTTTCTCAACTGGCACCCACACTCTCGCACCCTCCGTGCACCTGCAATCACCATCACCGACTACGACGGATAAGCATATCCCACCGTCGATCTTCGGAGTCACAGCATGCAATCGTCTATGATACCAGCCAAGCACCGCGCGCTCCAACTCTGGAAGCACAGACACTAGGGTAGGGTTCAACTTCACACCATCAGCAACTGTAGCATGCGGAACTGGCTCGGGTGGTGGATCGGCCCACCGATATGTATCATTCATGATGGAGTCCCTGTCGTGCGCATTCAATGCCATCTGGAGTACAGCAGCTGCTCGGGGACGTACGTCTGACCATTTGTGGCTGACCCCCCTCGCACCGAGTCCGAGAGTTTTTTTGATTTGGACGCGAGCTGACAAAGTTGGTAAACGAATGGCCCGACACTGTTCCGCAATGTGTTTCGTGAGCGAGTTTGTGCCCTCGCACTCCTGCACGTCACAGTATGACATCCCTCGGAATACTTGAATGAAAGACCACAATGCTCGAGTGCACATGCCCGTCCGTGCTGCATACTCAAGATCAGGGCGGTACGCGTGCCTGACTTTCCACGTGGAGTGCTCGAGCCGCTCGACGTCTGTCTCCAGGAGCATGATCGCAGTGCCTACACCGCCCGCAAGCGCGCGATGTCTAGCGGCACAGCTACACACGACGCATGCTCACGCGATCGATGCCCGACAAGGCGTGCACAACATGCGCGGCGACCATCGCACGCGCGCACATGCGCGCGCGGCCTCGCTTCCAAGACAGGCCCGGCAGGGGGTGAGGGAGTGGAAGACGGGTGGAGACACGTTGCCGGTGGGCGCAGAAGATCCGGTAGTCTTGGTGGGCGAGCCAGACCAGCAAGTAGGGAAACCTTGCGACAGCCGACAGCGGGACAAGCGTCGCGCGAGCAGAACAGGAGACACGATGCACTAGCAAGGAGGCCGAGAGGACGAAGGAGAGAAGGATAGAGAGAGAGCGCGGGAGAGAGACAGGCAGCGAGAAAGAGAGCGTGGGAGGGAGATGGATAAGGTAAGGTGAACGCGCTGGAGAATAACTTCGTCATGACACATGAGTGAGAGCAGTGCGCACGCACAACAGCTGAGTTGAGTGATTTGATGGCGGGTGGAGGCGCCTGTTGAACTCGCGGAAGACGCGGCGGTGGAATGAGGCCGCGTGGTGCAAGAATTCCTGGCGACGACCAGGGATGGCCTCCCCCCCTCCTCGTCCTTCTCCTTCTGAGTGCCAGCTGGGGCGAGGGCACATCCCGAGATAAATCACATGATGGCATGAATGTATCTGCCCATCCAGAACTAGATAAAATTATCACACCAGGTTTTTGGCAGGATGGGGCGAGGGCCCGAGGGCCCCGAGGGCCCTTTCACGAGACAAAATTATCACCACGAGGCGCGCCCAATAACGAGATAAAATTATCACATCGGGTTTCGCCCGCTAGGGCGAGGGCCCATCCCGAGATAAACTCATCACCGCGAGGCGCGCCCAGGAACCAGATACAATTATCACGTCGGGTTTTGCTCGTTGGGGCGAGGGCGCATCCCGAGACAAGAGTATCACCGCGAGGCGCGGCCTCGAACCAGATAAAATTATCGCACCGGGACCAGGAGGCCTCTCCCAGAACATGGGAAACACGCTCCACGACTGGACCCGCCCGACCGCCCAGACAGCACGCCCGGGCCTCCATGCGTCTCCCCCGCTGCAGGGCACCACCCCCAGAACCGCCCTCCCCAGCGCAACCGCCACCAGCGTGGGCGTCAGCACAACCGCCAACGTCACAACCACCACCAACGCAACCACCATCAGCACAACCACCAACAGCACAACCACCAGCACAACGACACAACGACCATCAGCACAACCACCAGCGCATACACCAGCGCAACCACCAGCATGACCACCAGCACAACAACCATCAGCACAACCACCACCAGCACAACCACCAGCACAATCACCATCAGCACAACCACCACCAGCACAACCACCAGCGCAACAACCACCACAACCACCAGAACGACCACCAGCACAACCACCATCAGCACAACCACCACCAGCACAACCACCACCAGCACAACCACCACCAGAACCACCACCAGTGCCAGCACCACCCATCACCACAACCAGTACAACCACCACCAGCACAACCACCACTTGCACAACCACCAGCGCAACCACCAGCACAACCACGAGCACAACCGCCAGCACAACCACCACGAACACCACGACACCAGCACGACAACCAGCACAGCCACCACCAGCACAACCACCACCAGCGCAACCAGCACGAGCACCAGCAGAATCACAACCACCAGCCTAACTACCACCAGCCCAACCACAAGCGCAACCACACCACCAGCACAACCACCGCCAGCACGACCACATCGAGCGCAACCGCTAGCACAACCACCAGCAGCACAACCACCACCAGCACAAACACGGACACAACTACCAACCAGCACAACCACAATCAGCACAACCAGCACTAGCACAACCACCATCGCAACCACCAGACCACCAGCACAACCACCATCAGCAACATACCACCACCAGCACAACCACCATCACAACCACCAGCACAACCACCACCAGCACAACCACCACCAGCACAACCATCACAAACACAACCACCAGCGGCACAACCACCACCAGCACAGCCACCAGCGCAACCACCAGCACAACCACCAGCACAACCACAAGCGCAACCACCACCAGCACAACCACCACAAACACGACCACATCGAGCGCAACCACCAGCACAACCACAAGCACAACCACCAGCACGACCAGGATGGGAGGGGAATGGCCCCCTACGAAAACCTTATCCTAACTCAATGACCTCCCGACGAAAACATTATCCTAACACCAGGGTTACGCGCGAAATTCTTGTCCGAAGCCATTGGGCCATTGGGCTGCGAGCGGGAGCCCTATCCTAACCCCAGGGCCCCTGGACCCCGACAAAAACCTTATCCTAACTCACTGGCCTCCCCACTAGAACCTTGCCTTAACACCAGAGTTACGCGCGAAATTCTTCTCCACATCCATATGGCTGCGAGCGATCACCTTATCCTAACCCCTGGGCCCGGTACGCAAAGACCTTATCCTAACTCAATGGCCCCCGTACGAACGCCTCATCCTAACACCAGGGTTGCGCCGAAATGTTTCTCCGAAGCCGTTTGGGCTGCGATTGAAAACCTTATCCGAGCCCCTGGGCCATCCTACGAGAACCCCCTATCCTATCTCACTGGCCTCCCTACGAACACCTTATCCTAACACCAGGGTTACGCGCGAAATTATTCTCCGAAGCCATTGGGCTGCGAGCGGAAACCTTATCCTACCCCCTGGACCTCCTTACGAAAACCTGATTCTAATTCAGTGGCATCCTTACGAAACCATAATCGTAACGCCAGGGTTACGCGCGAACTTCATCTCTGGACCCATTGGGCTGCGAGCGAAAACCTCATCCCAGCACGTGGGCCCCCTATAAAAACCTTATCCTAATTCACTGGCCTCCCTACGAAAACCTTATAAGCCTTAACACCGTATCCTAACACCAGGGGGGTGCGCGAAATTCTTCGCGGTTTGGCAAGCCAATTCGCAGTCTATCAATCTCGCAAGCGATCGCACGATCTAGCTCTGAAGATCGTACGTTCGGTCGCACAATCGATCGCACCGTCGATCTAACAATTGAACTCACCATCGATCTCACATTCCGACTCGAGTCGACGTCGCAACCGTTATCATGTTATCATGCCGCTACCGATCGCACAATCGATATCCCATCGATCTCACGATCGGTCTCACACTCGGTTTCAAAATCGATCTCACGAGCGATCTCGCCATCGATTCCACAACAGATATCACCATCGATCTCGCACCACATACCACTATCAATATCAAAATTATCCCAGTGCGACCCTACCTAGGAGTTGGAACCCCTAGGAAAGCAGCATTAGTAGTAATAGTAACGCTAAGCTACAGCTAAGCTAAAGCTAAGCTAAAGCTAAGCTAAAGCTAAGCCACAGCTACGCTAAAGTTAAGCTAAAGCTAAGCTGAAGCTAAGCTAAGCTAGAGCTAAGCTAAAGCTAAGCTAAAGTTAAGCTAAATCTAAGCTAAAGCTAAACAGCTAAGCTAAAGCTAAGCTAAAGCTACAGTAAAGCTAAGGTAAAGCTAAGCTAAAACGAAGCTAAAGCTAAGCTACAGCTAAGCACAAGCTAAGCTAAAGCTAAGCTAACGCTAAGATAAACGCTAAGCGAAAAGCTAAGCGAAACGCTAAGCTAAAGCTAAGCTACAGCTAAGCTACAGCTAAGCTAAAGCTAAGCTAAAGCTACGCTAAAGCTAAAGCTAAAGCCAAAGCTCCCAGGGGACTGGGGGGAACCGCGGGGCGGGGACTGGGGAAACCGCCCGGGGCGCTTTCCACTGCCCGGCCCCTTTAAGCTAGAGAGTAAGAGCTCTTCTAGGCAGAGCCTAGGTAGGAAACAACATCCACGATCGATCCCACAACAGACACCGACGGGGCACCGACGGGACACCGCGGCGGCATCGACGGGCCCACCGCGGCCCACCGCGCGCTGGGGAGGGGGGGGGGGGGGCGGGCCCACATCATCTGGCCACGGCGGCATCAGTCCTCTCGCGCGCCCGCGCAGCTTCGAGTCGCCCGCGCGCGCGACGCGAGCTCGAAACCGACGCCGATTTCCCAGTGTACGGCTCTCCGTCCCGCTGCGATCTCACCCCCTCGTCTCAGATCTACACCAATCGACAGATTCGCAGATACATCTGCAGACTGATATATATATATAGAGAGAGAGAGAGAGAGAGAGAGAGAGAGAAAGAGAGAGAGAGCAAGAGGGTAGATGCACGATCGAGAGCTCGAGGGAGAGGGAGTGGCAGAGTCGGCGAGTGGGCGACAAGGAAGGAAGATCTGAATATTGAGGCGGAGGCATGGGATGACGACTGGATGAGTTACGATAGGGGGGGAGGTAGGGTAGGGGGGGATTGGGTTCGGATGCCCGGGAGTCCTCAAGTGCAAAAAGCATGAGATTGTAACACATACCATTATCGATGCGTGGGTCATCCTGCACCTTCTTGTAGCTGCCTGGCCAATCGTACGTCAAAACCACATCTGTGTACTCGTCGTTGAAATCCACGAGTCCACCCTCCACGAGTTGTGCCATGTGGTTGCCGGAAACGAACACATCATCTGGTTTGCGTTGTAAGAACAATTGAAAATGCGTGCCAGGCGCGTGCACAATACACATCACGTCGACTACAAACCAGAACACTGGATCACTCACTGTGGACAATGCATCACGGCGCCACCGACCCAGCTTCTGGCGATATGCAACCTGCTGCTCAAGACGAGCCTCGTCAATGACACCGAGAGCGACGTCGCCAGGCCCGTCGCGATCGGCGTCGGCGATCGCCTTGACGTCGGCGTCCGTCAAGGCGAGCGCCGCTCTCAGAGCAGTCACCAGGTGCCCGTCGCAGCCGGCGCCGCCAGATGCTGACCTGGCAGGCCGACGGAAGGGCGCGCAGGCATGCACGGTCACGCAAGCGCGCGGCTAACAAGCGAGCGGGAGCCAGAGGGATCAAAGGAATGCAAACAAAAAATCGGGATAGGAGGACGAGTCTGAGGGAGGACTGGCGGGAGCGGGGCCCTGGGGAGGGGGGTGGGGGAGGGCCGGATGATGAGGAGGGGAGGGACGGACAATTAGATAGAGTAGGGGGGGGAGAGGGCATTGCAGAACCCACGCTGACCTCAGACGAGACTCGGTGGCAGAAACTGACAACCAACGCCCTGCAACACACTTGGGCGGCAACTTCAGAGCGTGCTCGCACGCGTCGGCAGCCCCGAACAGAGACGTCCACGTGCCCAGAACTTTGGCGGCAGCGTCGCGCCAACAATGGGTGATCTTGGCACACGACGAGAAATACTTCCAAGGAACACCAAGCTTACGCATCCACGCGTCTACGAGATGCAATCCAGTTTGCGTCGTCAACTGGCCAATGTGCATTAGACAAGGGATGCCAACAGCTACGATAAATTGATTCGGGGCAGCATCTACACACATGAACCGTTTGAAAACCCTCTGATCGGGCCCCCCGTCCGACGTGTACACCCACCATGACATTGAGTGGCCATCCAGGTTGGCCCAGACAGGACAGCCGACTGACAACACCTGTTTTTTCAAGATTGCGTATGTTCCCTGAGCTGAAGCATCTCGCACGCGATGTAAGTCTGGAACCACTTCATGACACGATATGCAATCTTGAAACGATACATGCCCAATGCTGGAATAATCGACCACATAAACTGACTTGATTTGTGTATTGTGCAGTTTTGCATTTTGCCAGACTGATGAGTTCGTTGCGTCGGACCTGAAAAAATGAGCTGATATGTGTGCACCGAAACCATCATCATATGGCCGACATGACCGTTGTGCGTGCTCTCGCAGAATGTGGAACTTCCTAGCATAACTGATCAACGAAGCCGACAAGAGACGCTCGTACCGATTCACAGTTTGACCGCTCAAGTCCTCCATCAAGAGTGAACCCACGTCGTTCGCACCGACACAACTTAGGTTCCGCCGAATCGCAGTGGCAAGCCGGGACCGGGGACACAAGAAACCCTTTGCACCGTTCGGTCGCACAAGTTCGAAAGCAGCATTGGACGGGGCAGCGCGAGAGGGTGCAGGCACGAGCACGCCACCGTCGCAGTCGCTAACATCATCAGCAGACGACGGCCGCAACCGTTTGAGCTGGTGCCTCTGGATAGCGTCCTTCTGCCTGGCGCGCTGCAGCTCCTCGTCCTTCAGCACCAGCAACTGGGCGCGGCAACCGGGCGGATGGGGCGATGCGGCAACGTTGGCAACGTGAGGGATACGGGGGTGGGTGACGATGCGGGGGTGGATGCGGATGGATGGTGGAGTTAATGAGGGCACAGCACGATGAGGGAGGACGAGGACGAGGATGTGGATGGGCCAGAGGATGGGAGAGTCAGGGAGGGATAAGCTATGCGAAGCCTCTCGAGGCCGCCCGCAAGCGAACGCGAGTGGATGTGCTGCAAAAGGCGGTGCCAACTCCTATCTCCTACATCCCCATATGCTACCCCCTATCGCCTCCCACGTCCCCCATCCTATCTCACACTCGCGCTCATGTCACATGTCCCTCCCGCGGGTGCGGGTGGCCTTGGCCACGACGGTCGGGTCGAGACGCAGGTAGTCCTCCTCGGTCATCGTGGGCGCGCGCCTGCACGTGGGGCGCGCGGCACGGCACTGGGCAGCAATGACAGGTGGGACAAGGTGAACGGAGCGAACGGGGGCGGGGTTGGATGGGGAGGACAGGGGGAGTGGATTGGGACTGGGCTGGAATGTCGAGCTGATGACAAAGGACGGGAGGTACCGCATTACAACACGCACAACTGACATATTAAACAACGTCGCACACGTGTACAAATTTCCATGCAAACGTATCTACGCATACATAATACATATATATATATATATATATATATATACATACATACATACATATACATACCCGATACGATTGCCAACCCCAATGCTGTGAGACATTGTCGCAGATAGGCACGGCATGAAAAAGAAGAGTCGCGCCTGCGCACAGGTACGATCTCCGCGCTCAGCGCCGCGGGAATCGCGGCAACCATCGCTGTCTCTGGGTCGGGCGCGGGCAGCGCCACGAGAGGTTGGTGCAAGGAGGGGGCAGCAGCCAACGCGGCACGAACCTGCCTGTCCCACAAGTCAGATCGGATGTCGATCCCCCCCGCAGACAATGAGAGCATCACCACTGCCACCGGATAGTGATCATCAGAACCAGAGTCAGGCAGCCCGGGAGATCTCTCGGCCTTCCTGATGCACTGGCGGGCGCTGTCTGGGTGCACGTTGCATATATCTACAACCACTTGGAATAACGCACACTTCGGGAACAGCAGGCCGCCATCAGAACCGACGCGAGCATGAGTCGACAATGCGAGCTCCAGCTGTCGCGCGCCACTGGCCCCCAGGAAGACAGTCGGCCGCTGCGGGCCGCTGCGGCATCGCAGCATCATGGGCTGGCCAAACGGCCTCGGGCCAAACGGCCTCGGGCCAAACGGGCCGCGCCGCCATGGCCAGACCACCCACCCAACCCCCAAGACAGATGTCACGATTGATCTCACTATTGTTCACATATCAAACTATTGTTCAAATATCAACCCCAGAACTGGTACTCCATTGCACAATCGATCTCACAATCGATCACACGATCGATCTCACCATCATCTTCCCTCGTGCTACCTGCTCGCAGTTTGCAATCCATGGCAAGTGGACGACGGGATGTGAACGATAGTGAGATCGACAGCAAGGTAGTGATAACAATAGTGAGGCCGATTGTCTGATCGATACTGAGACCGACCGTGAGGATGCGCGAAGGAAAACTGATGATTGCGATGGTGGTGACGACTGCCGAATCTGTCGTATATAATTGCTATCATGGGTATGCGAAATCCCAGGGTTTGGGGGGGAGTCCAGAATTGTTGATCGGGTGCGGTGCCCCCCTCTATGTTACATCACCCCCCCTATGCAGTCGCCCCACGACGTGTGCGCAATCGTCATCAGCCCCGCTGCTTTGGTAACGGCCGCGATCGCCACCCTCCGTGGTCTCAGATCGATCCCCAACCACCGCCCGCCAACCGGGGAGGGGGGGCGCAGTTCTGTCCATCGGCGTCCTGGCCAGATGAAGGCCCATTCTTCTCGCCCGCCCACGCAGCTGCGTCTCGCCCGCGCGCGCGACACAAATGCGAAACCGAAACCGCACTTCGATATCACCCCCTCATCTCCGACAAATTGTTAGACCAAAACGCTAAAAATGTAGTTGGTTGCACGGGCTAGTTGGACCCCGGTACATCGAATGTGAGGGTAGCCGAAGACGAGGTCGCGCGCTACACAGTCAACGCCACTGGAAAATTATAACCAAAATGTTTAGAATACAAAATAAATGACAAAGAAAACACGAATACACAGCAAACGCCACTGGAAAGTTAGAATCCACATGTTTAAAACGTATATGTAAAATACTAGAAAAAAAACAAGCAACAACCTTATAATTCCATGCGCGCAGAGACAGCCGCGACGCCGATCACAGGCCACACGCGTAGAAAAAATAGTCAAACATCTTAAATTTGGTAAGCAACTTGCTAATTTTATTAGATGGCTAGTTTATCTACATCATGTGAACTCGCTAGGGAAACCATAAGGCCCTAGGGGGGGCAGACCATTCTGAGGAAGCAAAAGTGGTCACTTCCTACTTTGCGCGGGCGCAACATGGCCAGAGTTGGAGATACACATGTGACGAGCGCCTGTGCTCACAGAAGGCGCGGCGCGCCTCGGGGGGGGTGGCGGGGGGCTCCAAGGCCGAGGCGAAGGCTTGGGGGGCCCTGCCACGGCGCTCGCCGCCTGTGGTGCAGCGGCGCGCCTGGCCTCCCGTCGACGCCTGGCCTCCCTCCGGCTGGCAGCCACACGTTCTGGCTGCTCCCAATAGAGAGGCCTCCCAAATGTGGTCGGTTTAGACGGGGTCGGATAATCGCGCCGCATCGGCGATGCGTCGGCAATGCCTCGGTGATGCACAAGCGACGTCATCGATGCATCGGAGAAACTCGGGCTCCACATCGAGTCGCATCGCCGATGCACCGGCGATGCGGCGCAATCCCCCGACCCCATCTACTACCCCACCTGGGAGGCCTACACAATAGGGAGGGTAGGGAGAGCACACTCGCCAAGAGACGAGAAGGGGCTAGGTGGCTAGGCGAGGCATCACTGGATCTCGGGCTCGGCCTCGGGGGCAACTGGCGCACGGACCCTCTGCGAGAGGCGTGTCCTGTGCCCGTTACCGAGGGCCCGGGAGGCTCGGCGACAGGAGAGGAAGAGCATACCTCTTTCGTTTGCAGGCCACCTAACGTTGCGCATCGCGCCCTGCTCCCGCCCACGAGCCGCCACCTTGGACACCCGCAACCGCTCGTGCCGAGACCGCGACGCGCAAAACGCGATATCTTCGCGCTCCGCTGGTGACCTAGACCCTAGACGCTAAGCCTTTGATGTGAAGGGTGAAGGGAACATCTGCACTGCGCAATCCGTCGGCTCTTTGGGGGCCAACAGGCTGCAAGGTTGAGGTGCTTCTCATGTTCCCTGAAGCATAAACATGTATTGGTTTCTGGCGCCAATCTTATCCCGAGTGAAGAACGCGCGAGGATCCCAGTCCGAAAAATATACCATCACTCGTGCCCTTGCAGAATGACGTTCGCTGAATGTTTGGGATGCGCTGGGGCACGCAAGCATACAACATATGTATTCTCTCTCCTGGGAGTAGAAACCCTCCGAAATACGACGCGGTTGCGCTCTCGAGGCCAATACTCTCAGTACACTACTGCAGGTTCGCGCTCCAGACACCACAGCATGTTGCAACTGAACACGACGTTACGTTCCCGAGGCCGCAACCCGACGTAAGTGGCTATCCTTCCGCGCTCCAGGAGGCCCCAACCTCTATCAAAGCATGACGCGCTCGCGCTCCCGAGGCCACGGTCGTGAGTTTATCATCAAGTCGGGTCTGTCCTCCTACAGGGGGGGTTTGGGACGAAAAATCAAAAATTGTCAAAAAATACCACCACATGGCCAAAACGAATACTCAAAAAATAGTCCCCTGACTATTTTTTGACTATTTTGGAATTTTCCTCCTGTAGAGGGACAGGCCCGACTCAAGTCTATCACCAGTGCGCGTGCGTCCTTGAGGCCAAGCAGTCCCTGAAACACCGTCCTCGAAGCCACCGTCCCTGAGACAGCACAACGCCCCTCCGTGCGCCCGAAGACGCGCTCCGTTGGAAAAAAACTTCGTTCGCCCTCGCGCTCCAGAGGACACAACTGGCTTCAAGCGACTACGCGCTCGCGCTTCCGAAGCCACACACCCGACGTAGAACACTACATCAGAGAGAATACCCAATCGGTGGATGGTTTTCGCTGAAGAGATCGACCGGGAGCCCGGGAGCCCGGGAACCCAGAACCCACCGAGATCGGCCCGGAATCAAGAATAACCTGGGAGCCTGGGAACCGGGCACCCAGGAAGCCAGCCTGCTGCCAACATCGGCGGGGAACTTTTGCCAAATCCTTCAACTTCGGCCACAGGACCCCTCCAGTTCGGGTGTTGCTAGAAGTGCCCCTGGCCCAACGTGCCCCCGGCTTTTCGCTCCATCGTTGAGCCCCTGGGGCCCTCTGGGCCTCTTGAGGGGTGCCCTGGAGGCCGTCTGGACCACCCCGAGAATCCTGGGGGTACCTTGGGCCAGGGGTACACGTGGTTCATTTCTAATTGTGCTCGTTTCTAATTGTTCCTGGCCCCCCATAGTGGCCAGGAAGAGGCCCAGGACAAGACAATTAGAACTGAAAG